AAAGTGCACAGTGTTAAGAAGAAAAGTCTATTTTTCACTTTACACCAGCAGTTATATTGCACCGTCTACTTGCTTCTAAACGCCTAGGGGGCCATTTTGAGCAGAACGCGGCTCCATAATATTTAAGGGCCTGTAATGCATAGGACGCAGAACCTCGTGTCAACTAAACAATTTTCAACCAAGGAACGTAAATAAATATAAATAAACATAATATATATAATATTATTCAGTAATTTATTCCGTTTTAATTTATTTAATTTAACTGTTCAGCGTTAAATCAAAGCGTGTTGCAAAACTTTATGTCATAATGGCCATTTTTGTTTTTTAGGCATTTCAGAATCAGTCATGTCTAAGAATGCATTCTACTGAGTCATATGATGTCAATGCTACCGTTTCAATCCAGTGTCATTATTTATACTGTGATACTGAGTCACATTTCTGACGTTATAGTTTTCGCTAATAACTACCATCAAGGGCAACCGAGTACTTTTGATTAATTGTTCGACGTTATTAAGTTTATGAAAAGATCATTCGCTGTTCGAGAAAGTAATAGCTTTCTTCGTTACGTTTCTGCAGCTGAATTGTCTGTTTCATGAAGTTTTTAATAATGAAGTAAATTCTACAGTTAACACATACTGACATCATGTTGTGAACCACTTGGTCGTGACACAAAACTCGCTGGAGTAAGATGAATAAAGGACCGTTGTGAAACGCCGAGAAATATTAGTCAATTTACAAAAATCCAAAATTCTTTTGCAGTTGCCAAAGTCGATGCAACGTTTGTGTAAAATACTTCGAAAATGGTCCCTATCAAAGTAACAGTTGCTGGAAGTAGAAGTATTGGGTAAATTTGGAGGGAAGAGCAACTGTGCAACATGCAAAACGAAGTATAGAGATGGAGGTCGGTCGCTAGTGAATACCTCCGCTAGTGAATACGCATAAGCGAACACTTACGAGAACAGCAAAGCAACGACGAGCAGTCGCAAGGCCACGGGGATGGTCGTAAAGCTGTGATCTGCGCCTGTAAGCCCGTTGAAGGCGCATCCGTGGATGCACATGGTGATTGCGGCGATGTGCATGGCTCCAGAGGCTCATAGAGAATCTAGTGGTGAGGAGGACCACGACGACGGCGGCTCGGTCAGCCGAATATCGTTGTCGACATTTGTCACAAATCGTTGGCCGCCGCGCGACGACAGTAACTCCCCGCCCTTGGTGTCCATGCACGCGGCACAGGCACAGGCACAGCCTAAATAGGTGTATGATGTTTGGTTGGCGGTAGATGACGAGGGCGGAGAAGAGTCCATGTGATTTTATGGCAACCGAGGGCAGGCAAGCAGCGGTCGTGCACGCGTCCGTCCCTGTTTTCGCATAACCGGGCCGGTGCCGACGGGAGA